GTCAATCAATTACAGGGTGAGTGCAAAAGTGGTCGCAGATTAGAAAAATAAAAAATACAAAAAATACAAAACTAGAGCGAGAGAGGAAAAGACAGCAAAGACACAGAGAGAGAGAGAGAGAGAGCGAGAGAGAGAGAACTGAGGGGAAAACAGTGAGGTGCAGAGAGATAATTGGGCTGTCCGGAACAAGGGCATGGAGAGAGGCCTCCAACGCCTCTGTGTGTGTGTGTCCCATGAAAGAGTTCTCTTTTCTGACAAATACATTGTTTTGATCAGTGTGTGTGGGGACCGCTGTCTCTGTGTGCTGTCCCCCTCTGAGACCCGGTCCGTGTGTGAGCGTTTGTGTGTGCGTACGTGACCCATAGTGAGATGACAGAGTTGTAGAGCATCCTGCCGTTACGCTTTGTCTCACAGAGTGCATTTGATCCACCAGCGCACGCACACAGACACACACACACACAGACACAGACGGACACACACAACCCTGGGAGGCCTGTGCTGGGACAGAGAACACAGGGGAGAGAGGGATGAGAGGGAGAGAGGCTGGGTGAAGGTTAGGACTCTGAGTTTGTTACCACCCAACAGAAAATTAACTTTTCTGCTTTTTTTTTTTTTTTTACTCTCTCTCTCTAATGCATATCAAAGCAAGTTTGGGGATAATTCTATGCCTTTACGGTGAACTGTTTTAAATTGCAAACCTGGAAACCGAGCATCTCTTTTTAACAATGGTTACTGTTGATGAAGTGAAATGACGGTGATGTGATGCCAATTCTTTCCATATTGCATTATACAATGAGCATTCTGTTCCTGCTTGTAATTATCAACATTACTTTCACAGTGGGCAGAAGATAAATAAGTGATTCAAACAACATATCAGACAGACAGAGGCAAACACAGCCTGATAGGGAGCTATCAAATATGACTGAGAAGAAGAAGATAGAGCTTGACCCCAGCTCCAGAGCTTCCTAAATGAGAACCCTACACACAAGTAATGGTTGAGTGCTGCAGAATTACTGATGAGGTTTCACCTCTGAGACTGAAAATATTAGAGGAAAAGAGGAAAGAGAAACAATGTGAGGAGAGAGTGCAATGCAATGTGTGTGGATGGCCAGAAGGCAGGAAGGAGGGAGGGAGGGAGGGAGGGAGGGTGGACACATAGAGGAAAGTCCATACTGCGGTCAGACTCATCATTACAATTCCACCACCAGTACTGCTGCACAAACACACATCCTCATTGCTCATGCTCTCCATCAGTCTCATCCTCTCTCTCGTTACCGCCGCTTTGCTAATTGACCAGCGGAGAAGGACCAGGTGGCATCGTCCCTGTCACGCCGACACACACACGACGCATTTACGCCAGCCTCATCACACACCGCCGCAACATAAATTAGCTCCTCGGTTTGCGTTGGGGGGACGGATCCCTAAAGTCCTTCCTTTCTCCATGCATGCACATACACAATTCTTAACCCTTTACTAGTCCGGGATAGGAAACTTCTTTGAGTGCCGGAGTGCCCACAAGCCTCACACCTTCCCTACCTCTCTCTGTCTCTGTATAAGCTGCTGGGGGTCCCCTGGGTGTCTACCCTCCATTACTGCCCTTCCCTGCTCCTGTCAAACCCCTCCATCCCCAAACTATATGAGGCTATGTGTGTGTGTGTGTTAGAGAGTGTGTTTGGTCCCTCGAGGCGCAAAGAGGCCGTAAACCAAGCCAGGCGATTGATGGGGAGGACAGCGAGGGAGGAAGAAATGGAGAGAGAGAGGGAGAGGGAGAGAGGGAGGGATGGAGCGAGGGACGACGGGATGGACGGGAGGAGAGAGCAACAGAGGCGCTGGGAGAAAAGAAAAGAAGTGCAGCGAAGAAGAGAGCAGTGGACGGAAGGAGGAGGAGGAGGAGGAGGAGGAGGAGTGTGCACCTCTCTGGGGGGCTCGCTCAAGGTGTGTTTCCATGGCAACCAGGGGCGGCAGGGGGTGGTGGTGTTGAGGGTGGCGGTGGGGGCCGATATGGGAGGATGGGGTGGTGGTGGTGGATGGTGAGCTTGACCCATTGGTAGTGTGGGGGCTGGAGAATATACACACTCGCACATTCATGCACACACACAACCTGCTGCAGTGCTGGAGGGGTCCCAAGAGTGCCCCCCACCTTTACTCACCCTCTCCCCCCCCTCTCTCACTCTCTCTCTCACACACACACACACACACTCACACACACACACAAACACAGAAAGAATGCTGCAGTGCTGAGGTCCCGCGAGTATCCAACACCCACACACATTCTCCCTCCCTCCTCTCATCTTCCATTTTCCCTTCTCGGTTTCCATCACTCTCTGTGAGGTAATTGTTAATATTTTCATCACTTGTTTACTCCCCGTCTCACTGTGGTGTGGATTTTTTTATTTTTTTTTGACATACAGATGAATGGAGACGCGACGACTTATGGCCGCCCTCAAACAGAAGAAGCCCACATGGTGTGAAACAAACTGCCTCTGACCCAATCATTTGAAGACATGTAGGTCAGATTTCAGCCTGCAACTTTAATTCCGCGCGATTTCTCACAACTTATGAACAAAGTTTGTGTTTTGCTTCAGTTTCTCGTGGCAGCAAATGTTGTTTAAACCTCAATGATGAACAGAGCAATCTCAGGCGACACAATGACCCATTCAAAGTGACCGGTGACACACAGATAGGTGGTTTGAACGGGGCATAAAAGGCTCCTCATCTTGAAGTTGTGCAACTAATGCAAACACAGTAGACTAACAGAAAGGAGCTGCGGTTACTTTTCCAATCAAACACAACTTTGCAGATTTGCAGATTGCAGAATTCAAGGTCTGATGGAATTTATGGGGTTTCAGCGCCGGCAACATCAAATCCACAAAAGAAAGCAGCGTGGTTCAACAGAAAACAAAACATGAACACTATTAGTAGGCTGGAGAGGAACAAATCAAGCCTTCATATGCGACTAATAAAGAAAGATGACAGCTCTGAACCGCCGATCACCCTCCTCCCTCCGTCTACTCCTTCCCTATTGGACGCATTCCTCATTTGCACATCTGACATTACCCTGTAATAACTACTTCCAGTGGAAAACTCTCCCTCTCGCACACATAAAACGCACAAACACACACACACGCAGACAGACATATTATTGGCAGACGAGAAGAGCATATGGTGATGACCAGTTTGTGCACAAATTGAGCATATTTGTGTAGTGCATAAGTGCATGTGTGTCTTGGAAGGAGACCGTGTGTGTAAAGCCTGTGTGTGTATAGCAGCTTGGATTTTCCCTATCAGATTACATAACAGTAGGAAGCTGGAGCGCTCTGTCCTGTCGAAGCCAAAAGCCTCTCACTAACACACACATGTGCATAATGTAGATACGCACACACACACACAAATCGTACATCATCATTGACTCTCGCGCTCTTTGGTTGTGGGTTATTTTATGGATACGGTTACATTATAAATTTTAGCTTTAACTTCTGGTGCTTGGATGTTTCTGTGGCAAAACACAAACCCATCAATGGATTTTTGAGTTCATTGGCTTTCTGTTTATAGCATTTGTGCATAAATGAGTAAAAAAAAAAGTGAATGAAAAAGTGAATCAGTGCAAAAGAATAAAACACAGATGAAGTAAAGGTCATGTTTTCTTACAACATGAACTTTTATACATGGTATGAAGTTATTTTCCTGATATAAAATTGGTATGAGCTAAACTCGATACTTTACTGGAAAATTAACCCCCTGAACCTCAGAACCCGTTGCAGGTTTGAAAGGCATGTTATCTTTTTAAAAAAAATGCAGAACTTACACCATGTATGAGAGCAAGACTTTATAGCAACTTTCTGTAATGTGCCGTTCTGTTGAAAAATCAAGCACATCTTCGCTTAAAATCAGGATATTTCAACTGTGCCAAAAATACTTAACAGATTCTGTGAAAACAAAAAAACGTTTGTGACATCTGACTCAACTGCAACCAAAACTCAGGGAACAAAAACTCAGAGATTATTCAGTTGAACTGGGCTGTGTATACACAGAGCCGATAGGAGATAAATATGGAAACAAATTAAAAAATGGAAGCAGGAAATCCATCTGTAGCATGTAGATCAACTGTTTTTTTTTCAACAGAACACCACTTTTAAAAAATGTCATGTTTGACTCCAATTTTCATTTTTTTTCTTTATTTCTTTCTTTTTGATTTAAGGCATTATAACTTTGTTGTCCTTGTGGTTGTGCTGTTCTCATAAAGGTGCAGGACTTTATACTGCAGTGAAAACTAAGCCCAAAGTGAGCAAAAATGTGACTGGAGCAAAAAAACAAAAACAAAAAAAGCCTAGAAGCTTGTGGTTCAAAGGGTTCAAGTAGGATGGAAAATTTAAGACATGGTTTAAATGAACGTTTGTTAAAAAATGTATTTAGCAANAAATGCTTGGGGTCAGAATGCTATGTAGTGCACTGTGTGTTTTGATATTTCTCTATCACAGCCAGCATTAAGGTTTATATCAAACTGTGCCACTGTAGCCCTTCTGTGGAATCGGACCACACAAACCAGCCTCCACTCCCTGCACGCATCAGTGAGCCTTGGATGTTGATGACTCTGTTGCTGGTTCACCGGTTGTCCTTTCTTGGACCACTGCATACTGGGAGCACCCTACATGATCTGCCGTTTTAAACAGGCTTTGACCCACTCTTCTAACCGTCGCAATCTGGGCCTTGTCAAAGTCGCTCAGATCGTTACGCTTCCCCGCATATCCAGCTTCCAACGCATCAACTTCAAGAAGAGCTTCTAATATATTTCACCCCTTGACACTGTAACAAGATAATCAATGCCATTACCTTCACCTGTCAGTGATTTTAATATTGTGGCTGATCGATCGCACTGAGTATATTACACATCTCTTTGTTTCTGTATCTGTTTAAAACACGAAATCATACGGGACAAAAGTGAGAGGGAGTTATCTGTGCTACTGTCCTTGAAGGTAAATGTGTGTGCGTCTGTCTCTCACCTGTGAAGCAGACGGGACACTTGAAGGTACCTCCCATGCCTTCGAAGCTGTGCTCTATCAGGTGGCAAAGCAGCTTGGCAGGTGAATCAAACATCTGGTTACACAGCTTGCACTCGTGATTGATGCCCTCCTCTGCAAATAGGAGACAGACACGCATGTGTAGGCTGGATTAGACAACATAAAAACAGGAACATATGACATCATTTTGGAATATTAATACAACATTAATGACAGATGTTTTGTGCACACCTAGAAAATTTTACACAAATATGCATGTAATTTACTGATCCGTGCAAAACAATACACAAAACCCTGCGAAATTGGTAGATATAAGAATAAACTTGTACATGGCAGTGACAGGAACACCGAATACAGCTTCACTATAAATGACTGATGTGAAATCCTTGTAAGAAATGAAGAAAACTGAGATCGCATTCAAATAGGATCGGTGACACACAAGAGATCCACAACCAACCTCCATCCTCACTTGGGGATTATACTAGTGTTTCTGTGTGTCTGTGTCTATTTTAAGAAGGCGTGAGTGACATCACAGCACCCATGGTGAAAGGCCAGATGAAGGTGGGCGTCGTAAACACACACATGCACACACACACACATGCACCCCTCGACGGTCAGGTCTCCCGCCTGTTGTCCTTATCGCCGTTGTACCATACAGGACCGATGCCCCAGTCGCCCACGCACACTGTGTGGGGCCGCACACACATGCACACCATAGGACAGTACTGCCGGGAGACATCAGATGGTGTCTTCTGTGGGCCAATCTGTGACCCCCTGTGGGGTCGCACACATACACACAAACATGCACACACACACACACACACACACACCCTGACTCACAAACAATTCACGGAGAACACAATCTGTGTCCCTTTTCCCTTTTTGTCACTTATCTCATGTCCTGTAAGTGCAAACGTACACACACACACACACACACACGCACACACATTCAAACAGTCTGCAGAACTTCAGCTGCAGAGCTGCAGGGGATCCCAGGGTTAATAACGTCTTCAATCATACATCCATGACACCCATACTGACTAATACACACACACACACAAAGATTCCTATCTCTCTTTGCCTCAAAGGCCGACACAAGGGTGCCCTAATCCCGTCTCAATAGCTGTGAGGGAGTGTGTGTGTGTGTGTGTGTGGTGGGTGCCACATGGGCTTATGTGGATGAGATGGTATGCTCCGTGGTCCCGGTCCCCAAACATCCCTTCTCCACACACACAAACCTCAAAGGCTGCTAGGTTGTGTGGGGCGCCAGTGTGTCCGAGACATACTGAGACAGATAGAGCTTCATTATCATTTACTAGGAGATTGAAACAGCAGGAGACCGTCACATGGAGTGAGACACACAGAGAGAAAGAGGTGGAGAGAAAGAGGGAAGGAGGGGTGTGTACAGCACTGCCCGTTTAATCAATTGCTATGTTTTATATTTTCATTATAATCCTTTCCTTGTATTAAAAGTAAAGTTCTATTTCCATCCGAAACTGAAAATTATTGCTTTGTTATTGTATGATGGAATTATTGATAGACAGAAGGAGATGCAGAGGTACAAAAGGCACAGATTGAGGCAGAGGGTGAATACTGTAAGTAAGTAATGCCTACGCTTCAGTGATCTCAGCATGTATATGTTTGTGTGTCTGTGTGTTTGTGTGTGTTGGAGGGGCCTCTGTAGAAGGCACCTTAAAGCTCATGCCCTCAGTAGGGGTAAAGCTCTCTTCAGAAGTTGCATTGCACTCTCCCACGCTGCCAGGATCAGAGAAAGTGGTCAAACATCAGTTACCTTTACATGCACACAATGATGTGCCTATTATCCAGAGACAAAGATCTTAGAGAGCGACATCCTCACTAGTCCGGTACATTCTGTGTGCAGCAAAGTTAGTGCAAGCATTCAAGTTGCAGCTGTGAAAACAGCAATCAAAACTTCAGCCATAGAGGCAATTGCACTACTCATCAGGATGAGCTGATATGTTTGATTTTTTGGTCATTTTTATTAATGTCAGCGTCTTATGCAAAACATTCACAGTCAGCTAGGACTGCAACTAATGATTACTGTCACTTTTTGTCATATTTTTGTATTTTGATTGTATTGTCCTTTTTTTTTTTTAAATTGGCCAATACAATTTTTCTAGAGTTTAATGTGATACAGTCAGATTCCTTTGTTCTGAACAAAAAAAACTGTATTAAATTCAAAATTATTAAATTTACAAAAACACACAAAAAGCAGGAAATTCTCACACTGAACAAGTTGCAACCTGCAAAGGTTTGAATTAAAAACAACTACTCAAACAATGAATCAATTAGCCAAATTGTTGAGTGACAAATCAGACGAACGAGCTAATCATTTTAGTACTAATCACAAACCGCTATTAGCTTAATTTGAGCGTTGTTGCATTACATTTCTTTTTGTGTGTGTGTGAGCGCATATGGGGGACGTCGATGAAGACGTCAGCTTAACAAAAGAAACTTTAGAGGCTAATTAATGGTCAATCAATTACAGGGTGAGTGCAAAAGTGGTCGCAGATTAGAAAAATAAAAAATACAAAAAATACAAAACTAGAGCGAGAGAGGAAAAGACAGCAAAGACACAGAGAGAGAGAGAGAGAGAGCGAGAGAGAGAGAACTGAGGGGAAAACAGTGAGGTGCAGAGAGATAATTGGGCTGTCCGGAACAAGGGCATGGAGAGAGGCCTCCAACGCCTCTGTGTGTGTGTGTCCCATGAAAGAGTTCTCTTTTCTGACAAATACATTGTTTTGATCAGTGTGTGTGGGGACCGCTGTCTCTGTGTGCTGTCCCCCTCTGAGACCCGGTCCGTGTGTGAGCGTTTGTGTGTGCGTACGTGACCCATAGTGAGATGACAGAGTTGTAGAGCATCCTGCCGTTACGCTTTGTCTCACAGAGTGCATTTGATCCACCAGCGCACGCACACAGACACACACACACACAGACACAGACGGACACACACAACCCTGGGAGGCCTGTGCTGGGACAGAGAACACAGGGGAGAGAGGGATGAGAGGGAGAGAGGCTGGGTGAAG